GGAGGCGCAGAGGATAGGGCTAAGAGAGATATTTTGGGGCAGGCGTATCCCCTGATCACTGTTGGACAATGGTCCAGTGCAGCCATTGTGCTGGGAGTGGAAAATCCTTTTCTGACTCCATCTCCAAAGACTGAAAATAGTCCAGGGTGGGGCCCCTGGGGACTGGGTTTGGGGCCGATGAGTGACTTGCCCAGCCTGGCCATTGTTTCTGGCTGGGACGGGGCTGAGACTAAACACCTGGCTAAGCTGGAACCAAGACAGAGGCAAGCCCAGGAAGCCCCTACTAGAGGAAGAATCGCTGGACCACGCCCAGCCTCATTGCAGATGCAGAAACTGAGGCCCGGAGCCCTGCTGGGTGGCTCATTTGGTTGGAGTGTCATCCTGACATGCCAAGAATCAATCAATGAGTGCATAAAGAAGTGGAACAACAAATTGATGTTTCTCTCTTCCTTTCTCTCTCTCTTTATAATCAATCAATCAACATTTTTTTTTAAATTAAAAAAATGGAGACAGACTCATAGCTAGTGGCGTGGGGTGAGGTGATGAAGGGACTGAGCAAAAAGGAAAAAGGACTCATGGACATGGACAACAGTGTGGTGGGGGTTTAGGGGGACTAAATGGTAATGGAAAAATACAATAAAGATTAAATTAAAAATATAAAGGAGAAGCCTCCCCCCAAAAAAGAAAAAAATTAAAAAAAGAAAAGAAACTGAGGTTCAGAGAGAAGAGATTCATCAACTCACATGGGCAGGGGAGGATGAAAGTTTGACTTCTGGGGCTCATTTGTGTCCCTTCCCCCCATCACGCACCCGCCACAAGCACATTCCCCTTGAGAAAACATGCAGATTCCTCACCCTGGAGCCCAGCCACTCCTGGCCAAGCTCCTCCCTCCACCGCACAAGAGACAGGAGCATCAGATATTGGACTGCTCCAGATATTGGACTGGCTCCATCCAAGGCACTGTGTCACTTCAATGGTGTCAACAGTCTCTTGATGCAAGAGAGACCCACTGCCCCCACTCCAGCCTTCATAACTGAGAGCCCTGCAGGTCTTGGGAATGCCTAAAGCAGCAGCTATTCGTTGTGCCTTTGATGAAGATCTAGGTAGCTAATGTCCTAATTGAGGTAGGGAGACTTGGAACATGGGAGGCAAGCTCTCCAGAGAGTGGCCCAAAGAGGGATGGCAGGTGGCCTCAAGTCACATAGCAAAAGCTGCCTATTCATCGCTTGCTTTGGCCCAGCTCCAGTGCCGCACTCCCATGCTGGGTCTCCAGGATCTTAGCTGAACCAAGGAGTGTCTGCTGCACCCCATGGCGGGCCCCACCAGTTAGGGAGAAACAGCTAAATCTGCTTCCATGGGTGGGTGGGAGCTCTCTAGCCCAAAGGGGCTGCTCCAGAAGCTTGATATCAAGGCCCCCCTCTTCCTCCTCCCACTGTCCTTTCTCCCCGCTGCTCTCCCACAGCCAGAACCTGGACACACACACAGGCCCACGGGCCCAAAAGCCACGGTAGGGCTTTGAGGTAGGGCACAGGGTCATCCCTCACTTTACTCTAGGATGGACCTGCTCCCCTCCTCCTATGTCCCGAGGAAGCCTTGGCCACAGGGGACCCACGGTGCTCACTGGCCAGACACGCTGTCCTTTCCTTCACATCACTTATCCTCATGTGGTTCCCTATTAAATTATGTCAACTCCACGATGGTAGGGTCTGGCTGGTTCGCTTTCATGTCCCCTTGGCACAGTGCCTGGCATGTAAATATTTACCACACACCAGGCGCTGTTCTAAGTGTTCCATGTATGTTAACTCAGGTAAGCCTCCCAATGACCTACATGGGAGGGGGGGGCCTCCTTTTAGAAATGAGGCTCTGCAAGGCTCTGCAAGATTAAGTGATTTGCCCAAGGTGCCACGGATGGAAGAATTGAAGATCACACTCAAGCCCAGGTGGTACAGGCATAGAACCTGTGCTCTTATCCCTATTCTCACCGCACTGCCTCTCTCATCTTAATCGCCTGAAGGGTTGCTTACAGACCCTCCTTCCCCATAGAGGGTTCCAGTGGCGCGGGGTGCTGGAGAGGGAGCTAATCTGGGTGTCAGAAGGGACTGGGCTCAGTCTCAACTCACTTAACTGCCTGTGTAACCTGGAGCAAGCTGTCACCTTTCAGAGCCTGCCCGCTCGTCTGCTGAGTGGGGATAAGAATGTCTATTTCGCACAGTGGGGGCGAGCAGTAAATAGCATAATGGACTTGAGACAGTCTGGCGTGGTGCCCAGGCCATGGGTTAGCACACACAGCTCATGCAGCTGACTCTAAACAGATCAGCCCAAATCTGCCACGACAAGGGTGGCGACCTGACCTGGACCTAGACTGGAGCAAATATATCAGGGGAGTATGTTGTTCAGGGACTTTCCTAGCCTTGGACGGTGAGGGGGAGAATGTCTTTTGGGACTCCCCGCCCTTCTGGGCCCTGGGATACTTGCTACCCAGGGCAGAGACCCCTCTGTGCCAGGTCCCCTGCCCTGGTTGCTCCGAGCTCATCGAGAACAGCTGCTACGGGCAAATCAGCAGCCATTTACCTCCTCTGCCCCCCTCTCCCTCCGCCACCTCCGCGGCAGCTCTGTCCACTCCGGGTGGTGGGGACGGCAGCAGGGTTTCCACAGCGGCACCGACCTGCCGTGAAGGGCACAGAGCAGCGGGGACAGCCTGGGTCCCCGGCGTACGTCCAGGTGCCATGCTGACCTGAGTGACCTTGGGCAAGGCCCCTCCCCTCTCTGGCCTCGAGTCTGCAGCTGGGCTGGATAATCCCTGGGGTCCCTCCCTGTCAGGTGGCTGTGCCTTTTCAGAGTGGCCTTCAGGAGTCAAAAGCCTCAGAAAGTGATGTCAGGGTGAGGAGGTGGGAAGGTGGGGATGGGGTAGGGAGACCCAGAGAGTAAAAGGAGATATTTTAAAAGCGGGCAGGTCCCCCCACGTCACTGCTAGACAATGGTCTGGGACCAGGAGTGGAAAATCCTGCTCTTTCTTGAGCTGAAAATAGCACAAGGCAGCAAGGTCAGGAGCCTCACCCACCAGGCGGGTGGCCTGGGCACTGAGCAGCGGGCAAGGTGTCCGCACAGAGCGGCCAGGCTGTCCAACTAGGGTCCAGAGGTGGGACCCTGGGCCCATCCCTGGTTCCCTTAGGGTCTCCATTCCCCACCCCCACCAGTGCCTGCCACAGGATTAGATGGTGAGTCAGCCACCCCTCATCCCCTAGGTAAAGGGTCCTGTGTCCTTAGAAATCTGCAGACAGCTGGGTGAAGGAAGTCTTCATGGTGCTAGGCCTGGGTTTTTGGCATCTACAGGACAGCTGCTGGAGGTAGGTGGGCTGGATATGAAAGGAACTAGAGAAACTAGAAAGGGGACTAGAGGAACTGGGGCCCATGGTGGCCACAGCCCCGCCCCCACCCACTGACACATAACCAAGAGTTCCCAAAATCATGATGTATAACCCCTGCCTCTGGGTCCAAGGAGGGTTGAGGAAGTCAGAGCCCAGCATGTACACTCTGGCCAGCAGAACACCTTACCTGGGTAGGGCATCCTTATAAACTGGGGCAGGGTTTAGCCTGAACAGCTGCTAGTGGGAAACAGACAGACTCCAGCCTACAGGAAAGGCTCAAGGACAGCCTCTAAGAGGTAGTCACCAAAAATTTCATAGGGACTTGGGTTCCATTAACAGAAGTATATGACCTAGAATGTGGGAGGTAAGCATTTAACTCTATTTTGGGCAGGTCACCCACATTGCACAATGCAGAGTAATCATTTGGATCATGGCTTGTGATGGGCCCCTGTCACGTGAGGGAGCTGTGGAACCAGACTCTAAATAGAGCAATGCCTGGGGGTGCCCCGTTTTGCCAAGGTAGAGTGGGAAGGGTGGAGTGGTCACCGGAAGCAGGGGAAGTGGGGTGAGGAAAGGACCTCTCTGACAGGGTGGGCCCACAGGGCAGGGGCCCTGAGTGAGGTCTGCCAGCTTTGCCCTATCCCTGCCAGAGTGCTCCCTGTCCAGCTGAGCCCCACACATCTCCAGAGTGCTCCTGGCTGGGCCCAGAGCCCGTCACAGGTGAGACTCATGCCCCCCACACTGAGCCCTGACCCAACCTGAGTACCAACCATGGTGCCGTGGCTGGATTTTCCCCCAAGGCAGAGGAGTGAGTCTCTCCCACACTGCTAGGGCAAAGGGAACCTCACGGTCAGGACAAGGAGGGAGCCCTGACTTGGCTTCCTTGTGACCCAGCTCTCCACCTCCCCCTCCATTCTTGCTTTGAGCCTGGGAACGAGCTGTCCATCCTGCATCCATTTCCTGCACACCCCGCTCTCCTGCCCCCGTGTCTTTGCCCAGGGTGCACCCTGCGCCTGGATGTTCTCTGATAAACCACTTCTCTCAAAAGCTACAGCTTAAGAGTCCGCCCACTCCGGGGAGCATTCCCTGACCACCTGATCCACAGCCCCAACCATTCAACATTATCGAGTGGTGTGCTGGAGCAACTTGTACCTGCTTGCAAAAGCCAATTGTTAAATTTTCAGGAATTTTGCAGAGAGGGTGATATCATATTGGTCATCTGAAATTGGCCATGGTAAGAGTGTTTGCACCGCAGCAATTGGCAGTGCTACAAATAAGAGGTTCCCCTCACCCATCTGGAGGGCCAGTTAAATGGTTTAACATTTACCAGTACATGATAGGCTGTCACCCTCAGGTCCTAAACAGGAGGATCCCAAGGACTGGGATCCCACCTGACTCCTCTCTGTGTCCAACAGAGCCAGGTACAAAAGCCAGTTAGCTTAAAGTGGGCGATGGCCTGGGGTCTGGAGAGGGGACACCTCATATGAGACCACTGCTGAGGCAGCTAGAGGGAAGGCAGGTGGCAGATGAGAACATGTGGAAAGGAACCTAGTGTGCTTGCCGAGAACTTCTCAGATGGCACCCCATCCTCCAACCACAAAATAAGGCACAGCTCAGCAGATCACAATACTTTTAGTATAAGTTACAGCCTCAAACTGGCTCCCAGCACATGGGAGCCTCCAGTTGGGTTTATGACATCAGTTTCCAGGTGTTCATCTCCTGGGCTGGGGGAACTCCTCACCGCTGAGTCCACTGCACGCAGACCTGCTCCAGACTCCCGGGGGTAGCTCTGGCTCTGCCCTGACTGCTTACCAGAGTCCTCTATTCAACCTGTGACCCCACCCTCCCCAGGTAGCTCAGGCCCAGACTCCTCTGTGTGACCTTGGTAAGTCACTTTCCTCTCTGGGCCGGTTTCTCCACTTGAATTGGTTCAGCTGGGCTCCAGTCTAGGTACCTTGGCAGGCACAGCCAGCTATTTATGTGGGTGAGTCAGGGCAGCAGCAGCACTGGCTCTGAACCCTTGCCCTTCTTGAAACCTTATTCCCCAACTGACACATACAAATGGTGATAGGGCTGTGGGGACTGTTGAGTCGTCTGGACCACGGAGAGTGTCCTGAGCCCCTGCCAGACGACAGTGTTGGGGTCATGGCTCCCTTGACCATCCAGCATGAGTCATGACGACCCGTATCTGGGGAGACCATCCCATTGGGCCAAGTCCTAGTCCTTACAGTTCTCCCTCTGCCTCCAATATAAACTTGCACAGGCCGGAGGCTTCAGGTCTTAGAGCCTGACGTCCTTAGTGTTCCCATCACCAGCCAGCACGGACTCCGTCTGCCTGGAATTCTCGCTGCTGGCCGATCTGTCTTCTGTGTTGGTGTTGGTTCTGTGAAACTTGCGCAGGTCCAGCTTACGGCTAGCCTGGGCAGTAGGAGTGGGATTTGTGGGTGGCTTAGAGTCCCGGGCGAAGCGTACGAGCCTCTGCCCAGCCAGGAAGTACAGCACGGGGTCAAGGCAACTGTTGGCGCTGGCCAGCGGCCGGGTGATCTTGTAAGCCATGTTGATGGCATTGAGGGTGTGGCAACTGAGGTCCAGTGAGCGGAAGGAGTAGTAGAGAGTGCGGGTGACATGGAAAGGCAGGAAGCAGAGGGCGAAGACAGCCAGCACCACCGCAATGGTGCGCACCGACTTGCGTTTGGCTCGCGGCAGGCCCCCTGCAGTTCCGTAGGCTGGCTTTAGCAGCCGCCGGGCCATGAGCACATAGCAGACCAGGATGGTGGCGAAGGGTACTGCGAAGAGCAGGCCCAGCATGACGGAGATGTAGGCCAAGAAGTGGTTGAAGAGATAAGGGGCCGAGGTGTCGTGGCAGGTAATGCGGTTGCCACGTGCGCTGGTGGTGACGAAATAGAGCACAGGTGCCTGGCAGACCAGCACCAACACCCACACAGCGGCTGCCACGCGGCGGGCATAGCGGGCCCGACCCCAGCGCAGTGAGCGCAGTGGGCGCAAGACACCCAGGCACCGATGCACGCTTATGCACGTGAGGAAGAAGATGCTGCAGTAGAGGTTGGTGTAGAAGAGGAAACGCACCAGCTTGCAGAGCACGGTGCTGAAGGGCCAGTGGTCACCACGTGCGTAGTAATAGACCAGCAGCGGCAGGGAGGCCGCGTACAGCGCATCTGACACGGCCAGGTGGAACATGTATGTGGTGGAGGCATTCCATGTCTTGAGGCGGCACAGGAAGATGTAGAGCACCGCGACGTTCAGACACAGCCCGAGCACGCACACCACACCATAGGACACGGGCAGCAGCACGTACTTGAAGTCCTCGTTGAAGCGGCACTTGTAGCCCAGCTCATCCCCATCCCAGGTGTCATTGCTGGTGCCGTTCCAGAGGCCCGGGTCTGCAGCCATCGCCCTGAAGGAAAGGGGTGGGGTGGGGAGAACAGCCATTAGGTCATGGCCCGGGCTCCTCAGAAAGGCTTGACACACCCACCTGACCAGGGCCAGGAGGGAACCCAAGTGTCCAGATTCCTTTGGTTAAGATCTGCCCAATGACATTCAAGGTCTTTCTTGCCATCTGACCTGGCTCCCTGGATCCAGAGGGCCCAGAACCTCAGAACCCTGGAACCTCCAAAATGCATGAGATCCATAAACATTAAGATCATATAATTCTAAAACTTTAGAATAGGGGTAGGCAAACTATACCCTGAAGGCCAAATCCAGCCCACCAGTGTGTTTTCATAAATACAGCTTTATTGGATCACAGCATTACATGCATTTACAAAGAGATGAGTAGTTGAGACAAAGACCGTATGTTCCCCAAAATCTAAAATATTTACCATCTGGCCTTTTTCAGAAACAAAATATGGCAACTTCTCTAGAACCTCAGGAACACAGAGTTCTAGATCTGGGATTCTGAATTCTAGAGGCTGAGGATCCCAGGGAGTATCATTTCAGAGTCATGGACGGGGGCCGTTGAGGCTGATGGGCTCTACCCCGTGCCCACTGCCTTCTGAAGCAATGGCCACTGGCCAATGGGCAGCCCATACCTTCCTGGAGGCATTAAGATGTTCTTTCCTTTGATTCATTCTTTGCCTCCCTAGGGAGGCTCTGGCCCTGTGCCGGGTGTTTTGGTATTGAGGAAGTATTTCCAAGGGTCTCCCTCTTTAGTCACTCATTTACCTACTCAGCAAACATGTTTTCGATACTTCTATGTTCTCACACCTTCTGCACATGTAAACAGCAGGGCTGCTCCTTGCCCTGTGAGGCTACCAGAAGGGACAGTGACCCTCCTGAAGATTCCAGGGAAGTCTGGGGTGGCGGTGTGAGTGAGGACGGCTGGGGACTTCATTTGTAAATTAAATTCAGCTTCCTCCAGGCCTACCCGGCTTTTCTTCCACACAGCCGCTATCTTGAGATAGTGTCCCTTCTTCGTCCCTGGTGGGCATATAACACACCCACAGAGCCCGACTGCACAGCAGACAGCGAGCACACAGAGAACAAGTCCACCTTCCTCCTCTCCCCACCTCCACCAACATGACCACAAAGAGCTCCCTCTCAGCTGGGAGGCAGGGGACAAATATCCCAGTCTGGAGGGTGAAGATGTGTCCAAAGGCCTCAGAAAACAGGCTGGAAATCCTAACAGGAGTCCCTGGTCGGCAGTTTTGGGACAAACACAAAGAATAACTTTCTAACAGTGTGAAGGGGCAGGTGGAGCTGACCTTTCTCAAGACCCTACTACTATGTGTGCTTTGTAAATGTCACTTCATTCTATCCTTACTACATGCTTCTGGGCACCAGGTTATTATGCCCGATAAAGAGGGTGAGACATAAGCCATTCAAGTACCTTGGCCAAGGTCACACAGTTGGGGACAGGCTACAATTCCTATCCAGGTCTGCCCCACAATGGAAGGTGCTACTGGAGGGAGAGAGTGAACTCCCTGCTTATGGGGGCGTGCCAGCAGAGTCTGCAGGAGGGCTCGCGTCCTGTGTATGGGCGTGCCTGGGAGGACAGACAGGGCAGATGATGTGTGAGTCCTCCCTGCCCTGAGAATCTGAGGCTGTACAACTCCCTTTATTTTAGAACCTGGGGTCCTGAGAGGCTGTGACATGGGGAGTCTGCAGGGCCAGCGATATCCACTCCTTTAGACACTAATCTTCATGCTCAGCATGGCCTCTCAGCAGCTGTCGGAGGCCCTTGAGGTTGAGAGTAAAGGGGATGAGGGACACATAGGTCCCTTAGTTTCCCTTCTTACCTAATACGGCACCACCCCCACCCGCACCCCAAAACTTCCCTGTCTCCTGTTGTCAACAAAGGTGCGACCAGAGAAAGGGAACCCACACTTGTGACCTCCCTCCCATAGTCTCAGGTTCCTTCCCAAGGAGCTGGTGCAGGTCCAGGTCGAGGAGGCACTGAGAAGCCTATGTGGTACTGAGCTGAGAGGGGGCAGCTATAGAGGGCCTCTGGCAGGGCCAGCCTGTCGGGACCCCTCTTTCCTGGGGCCAGGGCTCCGGACCTGGCAGTAAAGCATTTCCTGCATCCCACCCCTGCTCCAGGCAGCCTGGTGTCACCTCCATCCACCTTTGTTGCTGGAGACACTGCATCAGCCTCTCTGCCTTCAGCCTCAGTCTTCCCTCAAACCAGAGGGGTCTTCGTAAAGGACAAAGTCATTTCCCTGCTTGAAGCCCTCCCTGGCTTTTGCCTGCTGTCAGGAGAGTCTAGCCCCTCAGGCTGGTGCTGGAGGCTTTCATAATCCAGCCTCTGCCAACCTCACCAGCCCCAACCATTCTCTGTGACCTGCTGTTTCCCGAATGTACCCAGCACTTCTCTGCTCCCAGCCTTAGTTCATGTTGCTCCTTCAGCCTGGAATCCTCATATCTCCCTGTTGAAATTATAGCTCTATCCTTCAGCGCAGCAAGCCCCAGTGACTGCAAAGACCTGGCCTCTGGAGCCAGGCCTCCTATGTCCTCAACTGTAAAATGAGGTCATTGAAGGCACCTCTGTCGTAGGACTGCTGTGAGGATTGAGGGAGTGATCTGTGGGAAATGTCTGGAGCAGCGCCTGGCACGCAGTAGATAGGCTGTGATGTGATGAGCTTCCGGGCTCAGCTCAGATGTGGCCTTTTCTTGAAATCTTTGGGACACTCTCTCAGGCCCCTGGTGGAGGAGTGACAGGTCTTGCCTGAAGGCTATGGAGCAGCTGAGTGTGGTGGGCCAGGCCTGGGACCTCCAAGGACAGAGACCTGAGAGCTGCTTGGGAGGGAGGCTGGAGAGGCTGGCCCGGAGGACGTCTGGGTGGAGGAGGGTCAGGAGAGAGTGGCAGACAAGAGGCCCGGCTCAGGGGTTGGGCGGAGGAGCAGGAGCGGGGAGAGGAGGAATTCAGTGCCAGACATGGTAAGTGTGGGGTGCCCTGAAGGGGCGTGGTGGGGTGTGGGGATGGGAGAAGGCTGGGACCACCAGATCTGACACTGGGACGTGGGCTGGGAGCTGCTGGCCTGCAGGAGCTGCAGAAGTGTGGAGGCCTGAGTGTGAGGCTGAGGGCCTACCGAGGGGCCGCATTTCCTGGGCCTCCACCCTAGGACCCCAGCTTGGGTGTCCAGCTCTGCCACAGAACCACAGTGACATCAGGCATTTCCTGGCCTCCTGAGACTCAGACCTCTCATGGACTGAGGCCTCCATGGCCTTGGAGAACTGTGGCCATAAAACCTCCCTCATGAGATCGTCTTCCCCACTGGAGACAGGGAGAGCGCCCCTCCTCCCCCCGTGACACCAGTCCCACCTCTGGGCTGCTGCTTCAGTGCCGAGGCCCGGCCGGTCTCTCCTCAGAGCCGGCGCCAGGGCCCGAATCCTCCCCTGGGCAACATCCCATGGCTCTGCACAGTGCTCCTGCTAATCACTAGTGGTGGAATCTCTGACTCGGATGAGGGGGCGGAGACTTCCTTAAGTCTCCAGTGAACCCCGGGAGCTGCCTTTCCACCTGTTTTAAGACATCCTGCCTCCACCCTTCCAGGCCAGCTGGGATTCCACCGCCATGGCCCCCTTCCAGGCTGACTCTGCCCACCCTCTCCTTCCACGGGCTGGCTCGCCAGCTTGTGATTACATCTTTCCTGCCCCACCCCTGCCCCCGCCCCTGCTTAGGGGACAGCCAAGTCCCTCCCAGCCCTCTCTTCTGCCTCTTCTGACCTCTGATGCCCTTGGGGCCTCACTCTCTGCTTCCTTAAGACAGGCTCCCGCTTAACTTTGTCTAACACCACTCGCCAGCCCCTCCGTGCCCAGTCCTGGCTGGCCCTGCCCTGAAGGGCTCCTAGTCTGGAGGGAGCTGTGAGCCATTTAAGTGCCCTCCCAGGCTTCCCTGCCCTTGTGCATACTGTTCCCTCTGCCTAGGAAGCCTTCCCAGAACCCACCCGCACTGCACCGCGTCCTGCCCAGAGCTCAAGGCTCTTTTCAAATGTCACCTCATCTCACCTCAGTTCTCCTCCTAACACCACCCCCAGGCACGCCTCACACCCCCCCGTTAGTAATTTGTCCATCCACTCACTACCCCAACACACTCCAGATGCTCCCCGAGGACTGGGGCCATTTGATGCTTTCCCCTGTCCCCATCGTCTGGCCGGAGGACTGATTTAAAGTGAGTATAACGTGAACGAGAGAATGAATGAATGAGCTAGTGAATAAAGCAAGCGCAAAAGGCTATGGGAGCCCAGAGGAGGCTGAGCTTTATGACGGTGGCTCTCCTTTCCCTCATGCCTCGGAGAGCCTCCCAGACCACGATGACACTTAAAGATTTCTCAGCTGCTGACGCTCGGGGGCCAGGAGTCACCCCCGCTCTCCTGCGGCCCAGCCCACGCAAGGCCTGCTCCTGCCCTACACAGGTCCCAGTACTGTCTCCCTTTCAAGAGCTGCAGAGAAGGCTTTGCCCTTCTCTGGACAGAGGGAGGGGAACCGGACCCAGATATTCTGGAGATGGGTTGGCTGTCTGAGCAAGCCACATTCTTCTATTTCACCCATCTCTGGCTCAGGTCACGGGTCAGCCTGGGTCAGGGGTCCCACCCCCTCATTTTGTAGGGGCCAAGCCTGGGCTGAGAAGCTTCCATACAGCATCTTTATTTATTCTCCTCACTCCTCAGTAGACACTGCCATAGAGGTGAAGCTATTCGTTCAATGCCACACTACTGGGAATTGGAAAAATTGGGCTTGACACCCAGGGCTGCCTGGCTCCGAAGTTTGAATTCCCCACAGCCCGGCATGAGGGAGCAGGGTAGAGGTCTCCTTGATCTGCTTCCGGTTCAGTGTGTATACACACATGCACGCACCTGACCCAGCCTCCCAGCCAGTGGACCGGCCCTCGCACGTCCGTACCTGACCAGCCCCTGTTCTTGCAGTCAGGATGCTCTGTGCCCGCTCAGGTTCTTCACTTATGAATGCACACGCTTGGACAGGGCTGCAGGGAACTCTGGAGGAAACAGGAAAAACAGGTCCCCCGCCTGGGGCCACACCCAGCTTCCAGCATTTCTCAGGGCAGGCCGTGCTGTGGGCTCCTGAGACACAGGGAGGTGGAGACAGTGTGGGCTCTGGGTCACAGGCAGTCAGCCAGGCCGAGCCCTCCTGGGGCCACCTTCTCTGCTCCAACCTTGGCCTGAAAGAGGCAGAGAGGTGACCTGGTGTGCTGGTCCTGGTCGGGGGTCCTCTGCCTACTGGCCGTCCACCCTCAGTTCACACGCTCGGGGATGGGAGTTCCCAGCCTCCTTCCCCAGGAGCCCCCTTTCACAGGAAGGTGGTTCCGTCAGGGAAGGTCTTCCCAGATCCTGCAGAGCTGAGCTGAGCTTCCAGTTCCCCTTCCCTTGGTTTTGTTTCTGTGCTTCAGCCCCACGACAAGAAACAGTCAATACCCTCCTTGCCCAGGATACACTTGATAGCACTTCAGCCAATACAGTTTTGCTCAAGCTGGGTCTCTACACAAAATGCTCCTTCTCCCCTTAATCATGACTCCATAGGTGTTGTAAACACGTGAACACACACAGGCATGGACACACCTAGATCGACACAGCTACACAGAGACACGCACAATCACACTGAGCTGTACATGCAGTGCACACACACACAGTCCTAGTCAGGGCCTAGGACAGCCGTTAAAAATCCCTTGTGCCGAACTCGCATTTGATGGAGGAAGAAACTGGGGCCCAAGACCTCACAGTGAGTCAGAGACACAGGCGAAATCAGAAGCCAGGTCTTCTGGGTTCTGGCTCTGGGTTTGTCTTGCCTGGGAGCCCCTCTCACGTGCCGGGCACAGGGCTTCAGTGAGGGGACGGTTACCTTGCAGAGGGGCCCCTGTGTGGACAGGTGCCAGCATCCGCCAGAATCTGACACATCAGAGGGGAAAAAGAACACCCTTTTTCCGTCTCCTTCATCTCTCTACAATGGGGGCGTGGGGTCCTAGACAGCTGAGGCCAGGTCCCCAGGCTGGAGTGCAGTGCAAGCGTGGGGGAGTGTGGCGAGAGGAGGTGGGGCCGCAGGGACAGGACACGGAGTAAAGGCACTGGAACATAACCCTGGGCCACTGTTTTCCCAGTGTACCTTGCCCCAGGAGCTTCAGGTGGACCTGGCCAGTGGGTTGGTAGCTATGTGCCATTCTGCTCTAGAGTCTAGTAACAAGGTCACACCCTGTCCCAGGGCCACACCCTGTCTTCTCCTTAGGAAATGCCTTCACTCAACAGACTAAGGTAGAGCACAGAACTTTCTCAGGGTCACCCGCTGATTTCTGAGGGAGGGTCTTCACCATCCGTCCTTTTAGGTTTCAAACCTCCAATATGTCCTTGACAACCTCTCTTTTCTCACCCACGTGAGAACCATTACTCACCAAGTCCTGTCAGTTCAACCAGTGGAGTGGCTCAGAGGCAGCATTTCCCCCACCACATCGCCCCAGTCCCCTCCCTGGTCTCCATGCCTCTACCCCTGCCCTCCTGTCCCTGTGTTGTATGGCAGTCACAGGTCTTGTTAAAACATCAATCTGACCACACACTGCGGAGCTCAGAGCCCTCCCATGGCTCACTGTTGCCCCCAGGCTATGTCCAAGCTGCTGAGCCTGACAATCCAGGCTCCACGGGTCTCTGCCCCGCCTCTAGACAGCCCGCCCTCTCTGCCTCCATCCTCATCTTCCTGTGTCAAGCACAGCAAGAGCGGTCCCACGGTCTATCTTTGCTCAGGAACACCATCCCTCATCTTCTAGCAGCCATATCGTAAGAGTTGAGTGCTTTTTCTGTGCCAAGTTCCATGATCCGTGGCTTCACAGACCCCTTCTCATTTAATCCTGAGAAGCTCAGAGAAGCAAAATAATCTCTCCAGGGTCACAAAGCTAACCCATGGCACAGCAGTCCTGGACTGTCTGACCTGTGCCCCTGACCACTACCTCCTTCCCTCCAAAGCCGAGGCCCTCTCCTCCAGGAAGCTCCCTGATGGGCCCTCTTTGAGACCCATGGCTCTGCTTTTCCGGTCAGTTCTCTGCCACAGGGAATGCCCACAGGCAGGGCCCAGGATGGACTCTTCCTGACACTGTTCAGGTGTGAAGCAGCCATGATTATTGTACCCATCTCACAGAAGGGGTAGCCCAACGTCTCCCCCAAGGACATCAGTAAGTCAAGGGCAGAGCCAAGCCAAACATGCAGACTACCTGCCCCACTGACTTGGCTCTGCCTCTACCCCACCCTGGGCCCCAGGCTAGTGAGCCCAAAGCCAGGAGGAAGGGCTGGGCAGTCCCCAGGCCAGCTGAGGAATTTCCAGGGTGGTTAGAAGACATTCCAGCTCCTCCACTAGGGCGACTCTGGAATGTACCAGCCTGGCAAGGGATTGCGACCCATTCCCATTCTAAAAACCCCTGCTGCCTGCTTCTGCTGTGAAGGGGAACAGAAGACTTGGACCTGAAACACCATCGAGGGGCAGGAGAGGGCACTGGGCAGGTGGAAAATCCCAGCTCTGCCATCCCTGTTGTGGGACCTGGACAAGTCTCCTCTCTACCACCTAAGTCTCAATTACCTTGCAATCTAAGAAGAGCCCCTGCTCCATAAGTTTGTTGTAGTTAACAGTGATGATTTAGAATTCATTTTATGAAATAATGAAAAGAGATATGATTGCAGAAGGCGAGGAAGGCAGGGAGGATGGGGGTATCTTAGGAAGACAAGAAGGACAGGAAACCTACAGGAATTTGGGGCAGAGTAGCAAGGTCATAGCCAGACTGGCCACAGATCAAGTTTCCCACACTGAAGATCATCCTCAGAAGGGAAGGAAGCCCAGGGATCCCCAACAGGAACCAGACCCCACAATCTTTCTTCACTCACTCACCTTCTTACAGGAGTTGTCATATCTATGCCTGTTCCTGCACAGGGCACTTGGGCATTCCAAGGTGGGTCACTGTCAAGGCTGGCAGCGTAGGGGAGTGGCACATGGAAGAAGACCCAGAAATAGGTAATAACAACTCAGGGTGATTAAGCTGAAGGAAGCAGAGGTGACAGGGTGGAAGGAGACAAGAGGACCCCTAATGGGAATGGGGAAGTGGTCAAGGAAGGCTTCTTGGAGGAGAGGACACCTGGCCTGTATTTTGGAAGGGGTCATTTGCGTGAAGAAAGAAGAAAAGCAGAGTGAGCAAAACCAAGGCAATAGGTCACACAGTATATTTGGGGAACTGTCAGTCATCCCTGGACTGAGAGTGGACTGAGGGGAGAAGAGAGGGCAAGTCTGGGGTAAAAGACAGGAAGGATCTTGGGAGTCATTCTCTGCCCCTTCCCAAATGTCATCCACAGAGCTGAAGGCCAGTGGGCCTTGTCTTGAGTGCTTTCTGTACCACAAGCACAGGGGCTCATCTGGGGAAATGGCTGGGAAGGTAACCTCAGATGTTATCAAAGGTGCTCTTGCAACGTAAAGCCTCAGCAGCCTCTTCCAGGAAGCCCTTGTTCTCTGCAGCCCCTTTTGGACACACTCTCCCTTTTGGAGTCCCCAGGATCCTGGCTGTGGGAGCCATGCTTTGGGGTTGAGCTCAGATCACCTGAGTATGCGGGTGTTAGATCAACCAGACTGGTCCTTCCGCCTTACCATTCAAGTAACTGAGACTCCTTAAGAGGAAGGGCCTTACTCGAGGTCTGGTGTTCTAATTCCAGTATTTTCATTGTGGGGTTGAGCACCTCCACCCTCTCCCCAGAGCGGGACTCCAAACCGCCTGCTCTACTCCCGACCCAGCACGGTCCAGCCCAGCCCCGCCCAGCACAGGGCTATAGAGATGCACTGCTAACCTGAACCATTCAGAAGCACTGGGCCCTGTATTCCAATAACCTATCACAATCCAGCTGCCTGTAGCTAGACTCAAGAGGCAAGAACCACCCTGACTGGCGTGGTTCAGTTGATTGGGCAATGTTCACAAAGTGAAGGGTCACCAGTTCAATCCCCAGTCAGGGCACATGCCTGGGGAGCAGGTTCAGTCCCCAGTTGGGGCATGTATGAGGGGCAGCCATCGATGTTTCTCTCCCTCTCTTCCTCCCACCCTACCCCCCTCTCTAAAAATAAATAAACAAAATCTTTTAAAAAAATGAGGCAAGAGCCCTAGGTTCAGGCTCTAACTTGGAACTGCCCGTGCTGTGTAATCTTGGTCAAATCAGTTTCCCACTCTGAGCCTCAGGTTCTTCACCGGTCATTTGGGAAGAGTCACTGCTACACAAGACAGCTCACGAGGAATGAGTAATGTAAGGGGACAGGTGGGTGAGTGCTCTGCGAGACCAGCAAATCATGCGCTGCCCTGATGCGGGGGCTGCATCTATCCATCAAGGCTGAGAGACATCGAGACACTTCTCAGCAGGGGGCCCTCCGGGGTGACCCAGCGCAGGGGCCGTGGTCAGAACAGTCAGGGAAGGTTCCCGGAAGGGGCTGTGCTCAGGTCTGCAGAGAAGCAGAAAGTGTCCAGCTTGGAAGGAAAGACGGAAAAATAGAGAACCCAAGGTAGGAAAAGAGACAAAATGTAGAACAGGATACAAGCGAGTCTGTGATTCTGAGACTCTCGCATTCTGAGTGCTGCCAGGGTTCTGAGTTCATCGGTTCTCGCAGTCGAATTCCAAGAGTCTCTGGTTATGTTTCTTTAATTATGTTATTCATTGTTCCTGATGGCCTTTGGTTTTGAGATTCTCAGAACCACAGGAGTCTGGACTCTCAGAATAACATAATAATAAGTCACTTTCCAAGCCACAAAGTCTCAGCAAGCACCTGCCAATGCCCCCATGTGCCTGACCCCAGAGGGGGTCTGCAAACCCAGACTCAGATCAGACTCAGTCAGGTCCGCGAAGAGCTCCAGTCTGAATGGGAAGAAAGCCACAGACACGGGCCAAGTCTACTTGGGTGATCCAGCCATGACCAAAACAAGCCAGGGGCCATGGAGCCCAAGATAACTCCCAACCAGCCTGGTGAGGTGGTCAGGAAGAGCTTCCCAGAGGAGAAGTCATTTGAGCTGGGACCTGATAGGTGATTGGGAGTTCACTTGTGGACACAGAGGTAGGAGGGCATTGAAGGCAGAAGGAGGAGCAGGTACAAAGACTCAGTGGTATGATAGTGTGGCCTGTTTCCCTAAAGCCAGGTGTCATGTGAGGCTGGAGTGGACGGTTAGGTGGCACAGAATGCGTGTGGGGGAGGTGGAGGAGGGCTGCAGGGCTCACATGGAATGCCAGGCTGAGGAATTTGGCCTCTATCCTGAGGACAATGGAAAGCCATGGCAGGGCTTAAGTGGAGAAGGACATTGTTGGAGCTGACTTTTGCAAAGATGGTGCTGCATGGAAGATGGACAGGATTGGGGAGGGGAGGGCCATGCGGGCCCCAAGAAGACTGAGGGAGGTCCTCCTCCCATATTTCCAGTGCCCAGGCAGTCATTGTCACTACAATAACAGTGACAGGGTACCAGGACAGAGGGCCAAGCAGGAAGTAATTGCTCAGGAGAGCCCAGGCTGCCCACTCTCCCAGCCGGGACTCTAGTTACTCATCCTGAACTAGAAATGACTCAGAGCTAAGAGATAGTGTGGCAGGGGAGTGGAAGGACTCTTTTTCTCAAGAACCACCTGTCATCCTCCCTGGAGCAAGGACTTCCACTTCCACTCTGGGCCAGCTCTCACCCAGTCATTCATTTCCCAAATACTCGCTGGCATCTCTTTTAGCCCAACCTGTGTTGGGTGATATGGACACAGAGAGGAAGCAGGCCTGGCCTGGCCAAGTCCTGCAACTGACCTCTAGGATGGGCACAGAGGCCATACAGGCCCCCACAGCCAGCCTCCACACCGTCAGGCCTGAATGGCTCAGGAGCCCAGGCCTGAGAACACGAAGGCAGCCCAAGGAGGTATGGGCCAACGGGTACACCAGACAGGTCCACAGAAGGCAGTTCAGGGAGAGGGAAGATTTCATTGGGGGCACCTCCACCTCCTCTCACCGGATCAACAAAGCTTCCCTAGTTTGGAGGGGGCATTACATTATCAGCAGCTGGGTAATCAGGCCACAAGCAAGACCTAAAGACAGGATTTCAGGGCAGGATTCAAACTTCCTTCAGCCTGAAAGCCAGGGGACCAGGCTGCATCTAGATGGGGTTTCTATTTTGAATGGGGAGGTATGAATTGCAGCAGGTAGACTGGAGCCCCAGCCTTTACCAGCTTTGTAATCTTATTTCCTGAGCCCTTATTTCCTCATCTGCAAAATGGGGATAATAATTCCTCCCTAACAGGGTTGGTGGAGGGAAATTTATAAATTGCCACTAGTAAATAGAGGCAGCATGGGCAGAGGAAGGCAGTCAACAGTTAAAATTCCCCAAATCAGCCCTGACTGGAGTGGCTGGTTGGGCATCGTCCCCCAAAGCGAAAGGTAGCCAGTTCGATTCCTGGTCAGGGCACATGCCCATGTTTTGGGTTTGGTCCCCCCTGGCGCGCATACAAGAGGCAACCAATTGATGTTTCTGTCCCTCTCTTTATCTCTTCCTTTACCTCTCTCAAATAAATAAATAAATAAATAAATAAATAAGAAACGTGAATGGCTTTTTAAAAATTCCCCAAATCAGTGTGATCCCTTGCTATCGCACCCATTTTCAGTTACTGTCTTCAGGATGCATTTAAGTCTATGAGTATCACAGCTCTCCCCTGTGCATTGCATTTTACATCTTACAAAGCCCTTTTCTGACCACTATCTTAAGAATCCTCATAGTGAGAAAAGGGAACCCTAGTGCACCGTTGGTAGGAATGCAGACTGGTGCAGCCACTGTGGAAAACAGTTTGGAATTTCCTCAAAAAATTAAAAATGGAACTGCCTTTTGACCTGGCAATTCCTCTGCTGGGATTATACCTTAAGAATCCTGAAACACCAATTCAAAAGAGCCTATGCACCCCAATGTTCATAGTAGCATTATTTACAATAGCCAAATGCTAGAAACAGCCTAAGTGCCCATCAGTAAAAGGGTGGATCAAAAAACAGTGGTACATTTACATAATGAAATATTACGCAGCAGAAAGAAAAAAGGAATTCCTACCCTTCCCAATAGCAGAGATGGAACTGGAGAGCATTATGCTAAGTGAATAAGTCGGGCGGTAAAAGACAAATAGCACATGATCTCACCTATAAGTGGGACCTAATCAATGAAACAAACAAGCGAACAAAATAGAACCAGAGACATGGAAATAAAGAACAAATTAACAGTGGCCAGAGGGGAGGGCGAAGGGGATAACGGGAAAGAAGGGGAAGGGCCAAGTCTAGGAACATGTACATAGGACTCATGGACAAAGACAATGGGAGGGGAAGGTGGGGGTGGGTAGGGCAGAGGAGAGTAATGGGGGGAAAATAGGGACAGCTGTAATTGAACAACAATAAAAAAAAATTTTAAAAAGAATCCTCATAGTAACTTTGCATTTGAAGAGACAAGGATCATGATGCCCTATTTACAGATGGCAAAACCAACACTTGGAGGGGCACAGTGGCCTCTCTAAGAGCTACTATGATGAAAGAAGACAACCCAAAGCACCCACAGGGGAGCCCATGAGGCCTTGGTGATGTTTTCACACTCTGGTGCTTGAGAGATCCAGAAGCCTTGGAGCCCTGTGGATCCTGGACAGGAGGACAGATGTGGAGGGGCCATAGCCTCACTCTTCAGCCCAAGCTTGACAACCATTTATGAGGGTTCCCACTGTGATCCTCCAACCCATTTGACCAGACCCCAGGACAATCCAAGACAGGAAGAAGAGAACAGTGCAAGCCGTCCATGCCAGGGCCTCCCCGTGCACAAACTCTCAGCATAGGACCTTACTGGCTCTCACCTCCTTTTAGAGTCTGGCAGGGTAGAAACTGCCCCAAGGTCCCCCAGCAAGTTGGGGGCAGAGCTGGGGTGAGATCACTCGCTGGTCCCCTGGCTCCCACTGGGGGAGGAAGAGTCCTAAGTGTCCCCAGATTCCTCAACAGGAGCATCTGAGGGGTCAGGGAGGTGTTCTAACAAGGGGGTAAGGGCTCCGAGTTTAAACAATGCCTGGATGGTTCTGGTGTCAATATCACAAATGCCCTGACCTCCATGCACTTGGCACTACTCAATCCATTCTCCACCCTGGAGCCAGAAAGGGCTTTCTGAAGTGGTGCTTTGACCATGACTCTTCCCTGCTCACAAAATTTCCATGGCTCCCTACTGCCCTCAGGGCAAAATCCAGATTTTCAGCCTGCACACTCTGGGCTCTGGGGTGCCCCAGGACACACTGTTCTGGCAACCTGTGCCACCCACTCTGGTGACCTGATTCCGGTTTCCCCTTCTTTGTAATGACATGGAGCTTCACTGCAGACAAGCCTTCACTGGGGAAGCTGGCAACAACGGGTGGAGGATAGGGGCTGCTGTTGCTCTTTCAGTTCAGCTTTGCCCTCTGCAGGTGCTGGTAACACAGAAGTAAGCTCCTGCCCTCCAGGGGGCCTCAGACCTGGAGACTGGAAAGGCACAGACACAGGCCATGACAGGCCAAGTGGGAGCAGGGCTGTCAGCACTGGGACTGCAAAATTCCCGAACCCAACCCAGCCTGGGGATCAAGGAAGGCTTCCCAGAGGCGGAGACAGCTGAGCTAGGCCTCAGGGTGGGTAGTTCTCCAACTGTGGAGGAGGAGAGTGGGCGGGCATTTCAGTCAGTGCGCACAGAATATGCAATAATCCAGAAGCAAGAAACTGCCCAGTGTGTGCAGCAGACTGCATGCAGTTACTAGCAGGTGAAGAATCAGGCAGGAGAGGGGCTGGAGAGGTCGGCAAGGGTCAGTTCTTGGAGGCCTTGAATCTCAGGCTGAGGGTTCAGTCTGGGCCCTGTGGAAGTCCTGTGAAAGTTTAGCCCAGGGAGAACAGTTGGGATTTGGGTTTCAGGAAGTTCCTCTAGGGACTGACCCCATCCCCAAACCCACCCCCAAGCTGCGAGCCTGTCCAAGAGGACATTGGCCCTGAATAGCACCCACACATCAGCTTCTCAAGAGCCCTCAAATCCCACATCACTGTTATTTTCCTTTCACAGACGAGGTCATGAAGCTCAGGGAAGGGATGTGCCTTGCCCAGGGTCACACTGGCCAAGGCAGGATTGGAATATAGGTCTCTGATTCTCAGACAGCTTTTGTGGGCCATGTCTGCTCAAAGAATCTCCCTCCCAACCACTTCTACCCACTCAGATAACTGACACTTTACTGGTGCCTCACCCTGGCCCTCAGAAATTCCCCATTATTCCAGCCTAGATACAAAACAAATCAAGCACCTCAGGCTGTGGGCCTAGGGACATCAAGGATACAAGGAACAGGTACCACCAGCCCCTCAGACCCCAAACTGGAAGTTCTAGTCCACAGCATGGCCTGGCCCTTAGATCTGGCTCCAAGGGTCCCAAACCTGCAGCTTAGCTAGGGAGTGGAGGGAGGGAACTGCCTTTCTCCAGACTGACTTCTTTCAGCACCACCTGCTTGATTAGAAGTCCCCTGACAGAGGCTTAACTGTCCTTCTAGGCCACTGCCCCAACCCCTGCCACCCTAGTCTTACCGACGCCCTGCCCCTGGAATGAGCTGGGCTCCAGCGGTTCGCGGGTGTCCAGCCGCCACGGCGGCGCCCACTCCGGAGCGCGCGCGCGCACACACACGCACGCACGCACACACAGAAGTTATACAAGTTCAATTACTGATACCGCAGGGACACACGCGCTCACCCACTTACGCACAGACTCTCTCAAATACGCGGACACACACTCACCGGGGTATCCGTCCGCACTCCCCGAGATCAATGCTTCAGTGGAGACAGAGTTCGACCACACACCCAAAGTGCGCTCACACGGACTCGCAATGGTGCCCCACTCGGACGGCCACACGCGCAGGGCTCTGCCTTCCCAGTGTGTCTAGTAGACAACGCCGCGTTCCCGGCCGCGCCCGCCGACCTCTCCCCGCCTCCGCCCCCTCCAGGTGGCCCGCCCCTCACCTCCGCGGGCGTTCGTCCGCCCGCCGTGCGGCCGCCACCACTCCCAGGTACCGGCGCCCGCGTCCCGCCGCTGCTGCAGGGACCCCAAGTGCCAGGCGGCCCCGCCCGCCCGCCCGGCGTGGCTTCCACCCCGGCCGGGTCAGGCGGGGGCGGACGGACTCTGGACAGACTCTGGAACTGCTCCGCCCCGTGCTGACACCCAGCCACCCGCTCGGGGACCCTGCCAGGCGATAGAGCGGCGGGGCCAGCGCGTCTACGGGTGCTGCACGGGGAGGAGCCGGCGGCGACCGTCCTACCGCCAGGCCGGGGTTTTCAGAGGCGCTCAAGTTTTGCAAAATTTGTCTAGTGCTTGTGTGGCTCCTGTCGCTGCCCACCATGAGACCTTGCCATGAACCTGTGCCCTCTCCTCCCAGGGACCTGCTTAGAGACCCACCCTGAGGACTCGCTTCCCTTACTTGGGATCCGGTAAGGGAGAGGAGGAGGGAAATCCAGGTATTCAGGGTCCTGCTTCTCTCCAGCTCCGAGATGAGGGCGGCGGCGGGGCGGGGGGGGAGCCCCCCTTGTGCTCCCTTTGCTTAATCTCATTCAGAGAGAGTCACTAGAAATTTCCTGAATCCTCCGCTCTTTCCAGTCCCTCATCTTGAGCTGCTTCCCCTGAGCTGCTGTCTCAGAGGACTCCAGCCATCCGCGTCACTCTCTCCTCTGCCCTCAACCCCACTCTGATGGCCTTCGCGGTCAAGGGGTCCTAGGAATTGTTGAGCATGTGAATGAATGGGAAAAATGAATGAATGAAAGAGTGAATGAGTGAATGAATACCCTGGTCTCTCTCATTCTCGTCTAGGCGCCAGGAAGGTAGCTTGTGGCTCAGCTTTAGCAGTGACTCTGTGAGACCTTGACCCAGTTCCAGTCCCTCTCGGGGCCTCCTTTTCTGTGAAATAGAGGCAATCACACTCACCCTCCTGCCAACCAGTGTCCATCCGTAAGGGCTTTGGGCAGGCAGTGTCTCGCTGAGTGCACAGTAGGCCTCTTTCTGTAGCCAAGGAGCTTGCTCAGGGCCCTGGGGCCTTGGGTCCAGCTGGGCTCCTCATCAGCTGACCGGCACCTGGCTGCTGGCCCCAGGAGGGGCCCAGGAAGGATGCCGGCTGCAGCCTTGCCAAGAGCAGGAATAGAATGGACACAGAGCCCTGTATAGTTGAGCCACCCCTGCAGTCCTCCAGAGGCCTCGGCCGGGAAGCACAAAGGCCTCTTGTCCAGCCTCCTCCACCTATTGTCCAAGCTGGTCCATGCGGCTTCTAGGGACCTAGGAACCCTTGTGATGCCTATTTATGGAGCCTGTGCCTTAGAGTCCCAGTGTGGGAAGTCCCCTGGGCGCTGGAGGCCTAACCAACCCCTCTCCCTTCTCCTTTTAGAGTTCTACTGTAACTGCTATTTACGTCAAAAAAATCCCTTTGATACCAAGATGAGGACCCAAGGCTCTGCCTCAGCCTCCAGCCGACCAGAGGGTGGAGAGCCCAGGGCCTTGCTCCTGCTCTGGCTCATCTCCGTTACTTTATAGCCAAAGAAACTGCATTCCTGAGACACAGAGTGTCTGAACTCCCGCAACAGGAGACTTAGTGAGGCCTGAGGAGCAGAGGAAAGGGACTTGTCCTTGAGCCCCATGGCCTTAGCTTCAGGTTCAGGCTCTTCTTGGAGCCTCAGTTCCCTCTTAAGCAAAATGGTCATAATAGTCCATTTCTTACTGGCCCATCTCTTTTCGGGGTTTTGCCCATTGTCCTGAGCTGCTCAGGTTCGAGGGTTAGTATCCCTTCTAATGAGGGGCCACAAGTCTAGGTCCCCTGGCATCTTCCCAGACACTCTCATCACTGGGCTTCAGAGAGCAGGTCCAGCAGGCTCCAAATCTCTCAGCCGAGTGCCCCCTTTCTGGTGGCTGCCTAAGGAGCCCCCATCACACTTCAACCTGAGCATCTCTGCTTTTATCTTTATTTATTTACATTTTCTGGTAAGAGTTTATTTAAAAAAAATATAGACCTTTTCATAGCTAAATGATTTTAGACCCCTTGACTCAGCTAGGAAATTGAGGCCCAGGAAGCCCCAGAGCAAACCCCATTTGGAAGGGTGGAATAACACCCAGGGAGCCTCTCTGCAACCAAGCAGCCAAGGTGGGCTAGTGGGGAAGGCCCAGTCACCTAATGGTCCCCATATGGGAGGGGGTGCGGGAGGGGGAGAGGGTCAGGTTCCATTAGCAGCCGTAGGCCAGGATACAGAAGGGCAACCCAGGAGTGCTTCTCCTGTGTATTAGGCTTCCCGTCTTGCCAACCCTGAGGAGGCTTTTGGCTCTCTTAAGCCTTCTCATCTTCCTTCTCTCGTCCTCTGTCATCTCCTCTGAGAAAACCTGCTCTCAGAGTCTGTGCTGGGAGTGGAGCCTGGGCCCTGGCTCCGCCTCCTCGCTGAGCTGAGACTGGATGCCTCCAAGCCTGCCTTCAGGGCCAGGGTGGTGACTCTGTTGCCCCTCCTAATCATCGCCTGCCTTACGCCCTCTGGTAGCCCCAGCACCTTCAGGACAAAGCCCAGCTCTGCAGCCTGCAAGGACAGGTCCTCCCACCTCCCTGCCTCACCTCCTGCCTCTGATCCAACCCCGCTGCCCTGCTGGCCTCCTGCCGGGCACTTGCTCAGTCCACCAGCAATGCCCCTTTGACCTCTTCCTCCCTTCTCATGACTCCCCAACATCGTTACTCTAAGGCACAGCGAGGTGCCCCATCAGGTACCTTCCTTAGTCACAACACTTACATACTGTTGTCACTGTTATGTTTATCTCCCTCTAATGGGAATCTCTTTGAGGGCAAGGCGGTTCACAGTCAAATGTCCAGCAACTAGCACTGCCATGCCACCTGGTAAGCCTCCATGAATAATAGAGTAAGGACTCCAGTGATCGCCTTCTTTGTGCTAGTCATTATGTTAAAGTATCTCATTTAATCTTCACCAGAACCACATGAGGTAGGTGTTGTCATTACCATTTTACATATGGGGAAACTGAAGTTCAGAAAGAGGAAGTTAATGTCCCAAGTTACCCAGTGAGTCTGTGGTAGGTCCCTTGGCCCTGGAACTGCACACTGCCTGGAAGGAAGGTCCTGCTGAGTTCCCGGAGTGACGGCTGAGACAGGGCATTGGACCCACACTAGGGCTCCAGTTACACCGCGCTGGGTGCGTTCCAGCAGCCTTGTCTTGCTTGCTCTCTGGAGGCCTGGACCCTCCTGCCTCCCTCACTGACCGGGAACTGTGCTCCTCAGGTTTCCCAGGCAGGGGCCAGGCCTCTGATGCCAACTGCCGCCTGGAAGCTCTGGCTCTCAGCATGCCAGAATGCAGGCACCCATGGGAGGCAGCCGTGGAGGCAGGAAGCCTGGTTCAAGCCTGAGGAAGCCTCTGCTCCACCTGCCCACAAGCAGGGCCAGCCACATGATTTGTGGGACCCAGAGTAGAAAGAAAATGTGGGCCCCTTGTTCACAAACTAATAAGAATTTCAAGATGGGGTAGCAGAGCATTAAATCAAGTGCAGGGCTTGCACAGTGGGGAACCCCATGTAACTGTACAGGTCACACACCCATGAAGTCAGACCTGTTCTCAGGACTTGGTTTTCTCATCTGTCAAATGGGAGAATGATGACGAACCGCTGGCCAGGCAGTGGTGAGTATGAGGTTGGAGACATGAGCAGGAGGTCCAGTGCACAGCATGAGAGTTAGGTAGGAGTCCGCATAGATGTCATTTGTTACTTAGGTCTCAGCACTGGAGCACTGGGTAGTAGACCAATTCTTGCCAGGAGTTTGATTTCTTGCACAGTTCATTTTCACAGACCTAAAACGCAGCAAAATGGCTTGCTCAGAGACTCCATTGGGAAAGCCAAGATTAGAGCCCTGACCCTTGTCTTTGTCTGGTGTTTTTGTAACAGAGATGAAAGAGAGAGCCCTCGCGGGAGAGAGAGAGAGAGAGACAGAGAGAGAGACAGAGAGACAGAGAGAAGAGGAGAGGGAGAGAGAAAAGGAAAGAGTGTGTGTGAAGGGCAGAGGGGAGGTGTGTGGGAGTGGGGGAGGGATGCTGCTCAAGACAAAGAGGGCCGCTGTGCTGACACAAGGACCTGACCACAGAGGCCCCTGCGGGGGCTGGGTCAGATGGGTGGATAGAAAAGCCCCATGGTGACCGGGGAGGTGCCAGGCGCTGCCTCCCAGTCCCTGCCCAGTCGTGAAGGGGGTTGAGGAGGTGGCCTGCGGAAAGTAGGAAATGGGTTATGGAGGAGGAGCAGGCTCAGGGCTGTACCCCCATCCCAGCCGCAGGCCCCCAGAGCCGGCAACGCCCATGCCTCCTCTCTCCAGGTCCCCCTGGGAGCCCACCAGCTTAGGGAATCTCCCCTCATCCCCCCAGCACCCCACTTTCCCCACCTCAATGAGGGGCTCAGGCAGCTGACCTTCTGACTGTCCCAGCCTCACAATCCTGCTTAGAAACTTCTGGCTACTCGCCACCACTCACAGAAGGAGGAAGCATTCAAGGCCCTTTGTGACCTGTCCCGGTGACTTTTTCACACTCTGTCCCCACTTCCCATCAGCCTTCCACACCCCAGTCATACGGGGTGTCTCATTCTCAAGCCATGCAGCCCTTTCACGTACACACCCCTGTGTTTGCTCAGGCTTTTCTTTCCTTCTGGAGGGTTTTCTCTCCCCCCCAGGAATGTAGGGGACATTGGTTTAATTAAAGTCTATAGTTTGTGTATATATTATTTTACAGAATTTACTTTATATGTGTTCTATAAATTTTTACAAAGATGTGTGTTCTCTTTTTAAGATCTGTCTTTTGATATTTAATCTGTTATATATACTATATATATACACACACACACATGTACTACACATACAATGTATTTTGAATAATGTATATCCACATTGAAATAACTCATATTTATATATAAGCTTTCCAGCTGATAATGATACGACTTTTTTGTTTATAGCAGTCCCTCCTTTTATTTGTATTTCATCTATTTTGATGCTCATTTATTTAATATATAAAAGCCTTCCTCACTATGGAGTATGCATATTTTTAATAAATAAAAGTACCCATTTTTGTTCCATTTAATGCTCTT